CTAATGCAACTAAACCAACTACCCTCTGATTTGTAAATAATTGTTATGAGATGCAATGTCGTGGCACTCATTATTGCTGTCACAGACATCTCTAAGTGATTTCTGGAAGTGATTGCATCTTTTAAAAAAATCTATTGAGATACACAGAATGGACAGTTTGTAGAAAAAGAAGAACATGCTTTTTTAATTTTGGAATATGTTTCTCTTGCATAATACTTTTGTTTTTAGCAAATTTATGGTGAATATTTCATACAAGTGTATATACGAATTCAGATGATGAGAATATTATAGGGCTAAAATAATTCCATTCTGCTTAGAAAAGCTGAGGAACTAGCCCAATTATGTGTTTTCAAGAAAACAATTCATTTTGTCTTATTGGAAAACATAATAATCTGGCATTCCTTTCCCCTAAGGGGAGTGTAAGATCTCAGAACAGATAAGATTTTCAGCAGACTAAAAATCTAGCTGGGTTCAAGATCCTAGTCACTGTTTTTTTTAAGTTGTGAGTTCAGGAGTCTTGTCCTTGTTGACATTTGTTCCTGAGAAACATGCTGAAAAAATTCCCAGTGAAAGAAAATCTTCTGGAGCCAGCAAATGGAGCTACTACAAACTAATATTAAAGTTCCAGGAACCAAAGGTGGGGACTTAACATAAGGGTGTCAAAATGTGAGGAATGGAAATACCAGGAAGATATAAAATACTTCAATAATTTTATAGCAAAGCTTTAGATAATTTTTAATGTCAGTTTTGAAGTTCCTCATTCTCATATGAAATCATTTTATTATATATATGTTAAAAAGTATAATAATGCGCACAAAAAACCCTTTTTCTCATTGTTATACCAGTATTTTGCAGATTTCCATTATATATTTTTCTTCATTGAAAAAACATAAGAACTGCTGAAACAAGAACTTGATTATCTAACACCTCAAAAGTTTTAGATGGCTATGTCTGCAGATACAAGAAGATATTGACTTGGCTTTAGTCTATATGACCTCAAAAATTCGGGCTTCCTTTTCTATCAAAAGTCTCACAAAAGTGCCTCTGTATTAGCCTGTCAAACAGAAGCTGTGCAGCTGTAAGTAAAATGATAATTGGAAAGATAATGTTAGTGGTATTCGGGCATCTCTCTCAAAGCAGCTTAGTCATATGCTGTATGGAATAAAAACAGGATTGGCTGAGTAAGGGAAATTACTGTTTCCCAGGAAAGGAAATTGCCTGAAACATCTGGCAAAACGTTCTAAATGTTTAGCTTTGACAAAATATACATTGCAATCCTTCTTATAAGGTGAATTCTGTTGAGTGAATATCTTCTTTCTTAAAAAGGGAAAGATCTCATTTGTACTTTAAATATACCAAGCCACTGTTTGCTATTTTATGTCAAATACTTTATACACTCAGCTATAGAGCAAGCGGGAAATCACAGACTAAGCATCAATACTTCAGTCTGCAGGACAAATGTATCATGAATGCAGACGTGCTACTCTCTGTCTGCAGCACAAATAAAAGTTGATCAACTAAGATTAAAAAAAGTACTAGGATGCAACTGAATTATAACTTTCTATTGAACTTCATACTGGTATGTATAAGATTCCATGCCAAATTATTTACATTCCTTCCTACTCAACATGTCTAACAAGAGGATGTTCCCTCTCCCAGCTGACAGTAGACAGATCTTCCCTGTCATTCAGCTCTGCTGGGATGAGTCCTGCCCTGCAAGAACACTTGTCCTAATGCCTCTGAGGCTCAGCAAAGAGCCTCTATTCTGGCATCTTCCTTCCTCCTCAGTTTCAAGGACAAAAAAGTATTTAACTTGCTTTACTCTTCACACTCATTTTCTAAATTTAGCTCTTACTCCTTTCTTTCCCCCTGAACTCTGCCTGGCTTTGGCTCCCTGGGGAGGCCCAGAAGACCACTTCCTCCTCTACAGCTGGGAAAGCTGCTCCCAAAGGGCTGGAAAGGGTGAAGGATCACAAACCCGCACTCAGGAACGAAGCACCAAACACGGCGCTGTCCTGCACTGCCGGGCTAAAGCGATGTGTATCTATTTTGCTGGCAAGGTGAAAGCTGGCTCACTTGCCCGGGCAGTGGGAGAGAGCTCTGCGCTACGGCCAGGCGAGTCCGCGAGGTGCCCATGGGGAAACGCGATGGTTCCCACGCAGGTAGCGGCGTGCGTGCGTGCGCGCACGTGTGTAGGGGGGGACAGCATGGAAGCTGCGGCCAACACAGCCAGGAAGTGCCAAAGAAAAGTTGGGAAAAGCATTCCCATGGGAATGTTGGGGCGCTGGGCAACACGCGCAGTGCGGGACCCAGGTAGGGGTCCCTGCTGCGCGCGCGGCTCCGGGCCTCCCCGCAGGTCCTGGCTGGGGTTTCGCAGCAATACCTGCACTTGCCCTTGCCCTGCTTTCCCCTCACTGCTGACAGCCGCCCGCGTGGAATTCCTTCTTCATTCAAGAAAAAGGAAGAGTAGTACAAGGTGAACCGTTCTCTCTTCCCAGTATTCCTACAACCACAGTTCTCCCTAGTGGAAGTCCAAGATACAGCAAGCACCATCGGGCAGCCTCCAAGTGCAGCTCCGGTCCTGGCGCCTCCACTGCCCAAGGGCCTTCCTGGGTCATGTACTGGCCCTTCCTAAAGGAAAAGAGATTCCACTTCAAACCTTTGGAGACACTCTAGTCTTTCCTCAAAAACCCAGCAAAACTGAGCTGGAATTACACTAGTGATCTGACTCACCAGTGTGGCATACGGATGTAAGCTCTGTAGCGATCCAGAAACTGTGGAGCTACTCCAGCCTCTCATGGAAATCCTGTCTGACAATTTATCAGTCAACAATTTCCCCTACTTTTACATATGCACAGCCTTTGTGCAGAGATCTAGTAATAAAAAAGAAAGCTTTTAAAATGATGGTCAGTCCTACCCTTTCCTTCAATAAATAACTAAGGGATTTAAAAAATCCATGAAAACATAACCTAAGAAAATTAATGAGGTTATTTTCCAGCTCTTCCTCTTTTGGCGAGCGATGCTTTCAGGGTTGGAGCATTTTTATTTTCTACACTATTCTATTTGGAGTCCTCTAGTCTTTGGAATAGCTGTAAGAGCAAAACAAAGCAGGGGACAGACCAAGCTAAGGACATTAAGCAATAAAGGCAAATGATCATACTGTTCAATAATTTTTAACAGGAAGTATTCAAAATTAAAAAAAAATACTTAATGAATTTGAATGAATAGAAATGCTTCACAGTCTAGCATGCAAATCTAATCCTACATGCCAGAATCACTGTCTGTTAGTAGGTTCTTCAAATACCTTGCAAAATTAGTTATTCATATGGAAATGAACTTTCCAAGATTTCAATATACTGGAAAGCAGAAATCACTGTGCAGAAAAGTTTTGAAGTTTCCTTTACAACACTGGTGGCTGTCACATTCATTAGCTTTGCAATAGCCAAGAGTTATTGCAATAGAAAGCTGAATGGAAGGGCAATGCAAATACATGCCAAACCCTCCAAATATGTACAGTTTGTAGAAAATATTCCCGACTGCATCCCAAGTTCCAAACATATTCCTCCATTTCCTCTGACTGGAAGGATGAACAATGGCAAATGAACCTTCCACACGAAGCAAAACTGACAAATTGGTTTCATGGGTCACAGTCCAAGTATAATTTGAGCCTTTTGGAGTGTCCAGAATTAAACTCTAGAGATTGGTCCTTTGAGAGGTAACACAGAGCATTATGTAAAGAAATCCAAACAGCTACGAACAAAGTACAGTAGGAATATTAGCTGCTACAACTATTTCTGACAACCTCTTTACATAACTTTTATGCTACAAAAACCAAAAACTACATTAATACACTATATTAGATACAGAAAGTTGTGTAAGAAAGTCTGTCTTAAGAGATCGTGAGGCACACTGGGATTTTCCTTGGATAGGAGAACGTTTGGTCTCTAATTCATGTTCATCTGACTAATTAAGAAAACCTATGGCCAGATGTAGCAAAACTACCAGGCAGTTTCTCTTCAGGAATCAGTCTCCAAACATGCCGGTTGCCAGCAGATACTTTCTGCAAGAGAAAACTAAATTTTTCCAAAATTTCAGTAGAACATTTTTTCCCAAAGTTTGGTAAGTTGCTTAGCAATTTTATTCCTTTTCCAAGTTCACTGGCTGTTGCAGGGAACTTGGGAGTGCAAAGTGCCAGAGTTCCCTTTTACCTTTACATATGCAATCAAAGATTGCAGATTCTCCTCACTTTATTAGATTTGTCCTCACTTTTCACAGGTATTTCCCACTCTTGAAGGCCCAGAACTGGGCTAACATAAGCTGATAAAGTAATGAATATGCACTCACATCCCTGACTGAGGAGAGCCTCTTTGGAAAGTTATTCTCTCTTCCAGTCCTGCCTGATTTTTCATTAGTGACTCTTTTTTTAATGTTATCCCTTTCAAAGTTAGCCTGTTGATAATAGAGGGGAAACAATAGTAATAATGGAAGTTAAAGAGCAGGTTGAAAACATTTATCTCTCGAGAGTTTTCACACGCATGGAGACTAACGCCCAGCTCCAGACGGGAGACGTTTCACTGCGCGGCCACCCGCGCTCCCGCGGCTCGGGCATGTCCCGGCGTGCCCGTGCGCGCGGCACGGCAGCTCTGCGTTACAGGGCGTACTAATCACAGCGGAGGTTTCACCACGGCTGGAGATGGCAGTTTTCTTCACGAGGAACCAGGCGGCGCGGGGGGCTGTTCCGGGGCCTTTCCCGCG